GACTTCGTGCTCATGTTGCTGAGCTTTTGGTAGGCAAAAGGATATGTAATGACAAAAGCAGTTACTGTCTTGCTAAGTGTGGAATGTAAGTGATGGCCTTTTGAATATGATAGTGAGTAAAAATAGCCTTGTTCAGAATAGCATATTTAATGAATGAGGCAGTGTTATTTCAAAAAAATACTGTAGGGTTCTTAAAGACTTTATGAAAGTATAGCTGTGAAAATCCTAAGTGTACACTGTAAGCAAGATTCATAGGAACAGATACTATTTTTCATGTATCAGTTGGTACTGTTGATGAAAGTGGGGTAAAAAAAAAAAATGAAACGCCTGGTTGGGGAAGCTGATATTTTAAGTAGAAGTAGAAAAAAACCTCTAATTAAGTACATGTTGAAAACAAATACCTTGAGTTTACACTTTGTTTTACATTCTACACTTCAACTGTGCTAGGGTCCTGACTACATCTCCTGTCTAGGAGTTTAGTTTAGTGGAGTTCAAGGTCATCTTCACTAAATGGAGCTGTTGTGAGAAATGCTGCAAGGAAGGGTCTGGCCTTCCTTTCCTTCCGGAGCTGCTTTTAATCTCATGCTTTACTGCCAGTGCTGTGTCACAGCTGTGTAAGCAGGGATGTCTCTGTCTCTGATGCTGATCTGGACCTGGTGAATGGGCTTTCTGGCCTTATCTTGGACCTGCCTTGTCACTACAGACTTGCTGCATGAACCCTGGACTGAGTCTGGCCCTGATTACTGTCTCTGGATCCAGTCCTGAACTGGACATGCCACTGAGCGTTCCCAGTCCTCCTGACACTGCTCTCATCTGCCTTGTTTTCACAGTCATTTCCCAGCTTATCTTCAGTTGCAGAACCTGCTCACCCTTGCTGCTCTGACAGTGTGAACCTAAAAGGAAAATTTATTAGACAGTTGTACATTACCTGGGAAGACTACACATCAACTCGTTCTTCCAGCCCTTTAGCAAGACTGTTGTGAATAGTAAGCAGTGGAAAAGGTTGCTCACACAGGTTGCAATGTCTGCATGCTTGAAGGTTTTTAGAGCTTGGCTGGATAAAGTCCTGTGTTACTTATGTGGAGATGGGTAAAACCACTTCATTTTTTAGTCTTGTTTTAGTACTTAAAATCTTTGCTTTATTTATTGTCTTGTGTAAATCGATGAAGAAAAGCAAAGTTAAAAATACTCCAGTATTGTCAAACAAATAGGAAATTAATACATTTAGTCAGAACACTACTTACTTGTCAGGATATTATTGCAAGCTCAGGAACCTCTTGATGAATTTATCAACTAGCTTGAATGATTGATTGTTTTCTCCTAAGCTCTGAGTTGTCCACATCTCATAATTCATCAATCAGTTCCCAGAAGTATACTATATCTTTACCATTGCTACTTGCCGTTCAGATACAGTAAGAATAGAAAGAAATATCTTGGTTGTTTCTCATAACTACAGCAGCTCCTAAAAAATTTATGTTGCTGTAAATATTTCTTGAAATATTTTAGTTGTCTTGGATGAAGGCTCATAAATGAACAGAGATTTCATATATGTATTTATTAGTCTTGTGGGTTTTTTTTTGTTCCCATCCTTAGAGCAGTATATCTGCAGAAGAGGAGAAAGAAAATACAGTCTAAAAAGCTTTAAAACTTGTTTATACTTCCTGGTGTTTTTATCACTGGAGGAAAACAGAATAGGTTTGTACATTTTCAGAATCATTTATGTCTAATGCATCTTGCGTTTAGGTAGAGAAGATGGACTGAGGTGACATTTTAAAATGGCTTATAGCTTTCTCTTGTTATGATTTCAAAGCATTTTAGGATAATTTACGTTGGAGAGGACCTCAGAAGGCCCACAGTTCAACCCCATTCTCAGAGCTGTGTCAGCAGTTAGGTCAGGCCAGGTTGCTCAGAAACCTCCAAGGATAGAGATAGCAGAACCTTGCTGGCCAACCTTTTCCAATGACTTCATTTTTTCACCTTAATTTATTGGCTTCAAATAATGAAAATAGATTCCTCATTGTATGCTTGTTCATAGAATTCTGGTTACTAGGATGGCATACACTTACATGAAGGGCTCCGTGGAAGTGTGGCTAACAGTGTGCTCTGTTAAGTCAGTTAAGACAGAAGCATGTCAGTTTTGTCTTGCACCTCTGTACTTCTCAGTTCAGTGAGAGTCATTGTTACTGCAGGTATTGGCTCATATTCAGTAAGTGATGTGCTATCTCAGAAGTTTTCAGAAAACTCTGCAGTTTTGAAGAGGCTTTTAGTTTTTTTTTTTTTTTATTACTGCCTATGAATGGATTCTCCTCTGTTACTGTAGCAAATACGCTGGGTAGTTTCTCTAGCCAGCGTTTTTATATTTGTGCTTCATTGATGTATATCATGATGGAGTATCATGGAATGCTTTTAGGCAATAGTGCATTTTCTCCTGTCACTTGTACCCTTACCACAATAAGCTATTGCACTGTTTGAAATAATTGAGTGATACTTAAAAAAATAGCAGACACTCAGACTTGTCAGTCATTTGTGTGTTGTGTGGAGTTTTAGGAGTTATAAGCTAAAAAAATACAGTTCAAATGTATGAGGTAGTCTTGGAGAAGGATATCTAATGCAAAGAAAAAATGTATCGTACTGCGCAGTGGGGCTCTTCCAGTAGTAGCTGTGGAACTATCCATGAGGTTCAGTGGATTCTTGGTGAGAGTGGGGTGTTTGGACACCTAACGTCTGGTTTACGTTAGGTGTGTTACGTTGTGTGTGGAGCCAAGTGCGTGTATCCTTCCGCTCCTTGTCCTATAGCTACATCACTACAAAGTCAGAATGTGAGCCCTGTGTGAAAGGAACCACAGGGACTTGGGGAGAAAGTGGAAAGCACTGTTCCTTCGACCTGGTTCCTTTCTCTGCCCTCACTACCTTCCAGAGCAGAGTACTTTTTTTTGCCCTGTTGTGCAGGATCAGTGACATGCACTCCCAGCTACTGCATTTATTCCTGATCCTTCTCACGTGCAGTGGGATTGGGAGTTGCTGCAAGGTGCCAGGGATTGAGCATGTGCAGGTGGAGCAAACAGAGTGAAGACACCTTTCAGCTCTTCATGAGGTGAGCAGGATTGCCTGATATGTCTCAGCTTTTCTATTCCGTATGCATCATATGAAGAAGGAGGGGAGAGGAAATAAGTAGCTGTGTCAGGAAATAGACCTGTTGTTGTGGACGGGGACTGGGGGAAAAGGGAGCCAGGTTGTCTCCCTGCCTGTCCCTGTCAAACTTTTGCTTGTTGAGGAGCAGCACCCTGCCCTCCTCCAAGTGATGCACCTGCCCTTTCTGCTCTTGTCATGTCCTTAAATCTGAGGAGGATCCTTGTTTTACAGCTTTCTTGTCCAGTCTTATCTTACAGGTTCTAGGGCACAGATAGGCTTTTTATTTAGTTGCTTGTCATTAGTTATTCTTTGCTCTGCTCTTGTCATTGCCATCATTACGCTAAATGCATAACAATGATTTATTACACCGATGCAGCATAACAATAGTTTACTACAGTGGTGCATGGTGAAGGTCAAAATGAGACAGTCTGACAGACCTAAGTCCAGATTTTCCTGTTGTATGACATCTTGGTAAAATCCATACCTTAATGCCCTCTTACAGCTTCAGGTTCCCCTTACATTTTGGGGATCTCTTCATGGTAGTATTCATGGAGACAGTGACTACCAGTAATGAGCTGTGCATGATTCTGTCAACATGGATGATTTTTTTCTCCTTATATTTTGAAGCTGTTTTCGGGAACAGTTTTTTTGCTGTCTCTGGAGCCTAGTTACTTATGTGCCTGAAAAAGCTACCTATGTTTCATGCTTCCCTGTGTGCTCTGGAATCTCTGGGCAACCCAGACATGCATATTTGATGATAGCATTTTCTCGCTGGGGTAACTAGCTGTTCAAGAAGGCTGCAGTCACTAAGGTCAGGTCAGAGGGTAAGGAGCAGCCGCTGCCACTCATGCTCTGCTGGGACTGGGTCTGAGGCTATTGGTGGTGACAGTCCTCACACTAGAGTGGTTCTGGGATTCTGTAGGGGAGAAAGAAGAGTTCAGTGGCTGTTAGAACACCAGTGTTGTGGAAAATGATCAGCTTCTCCAGGTACAGTAAGTATATCTGAGAGCTCTTGTACTAGTCTGAGGTGTGACCTGCTAAGCTAAGAAATATTCTGCCTTAATCACAGAGTGTTTGCTGCTTTAGGTATTTGAGTAAAGTTAAATACTTGGGCATTTTTGGTGGAAAGTACTTCCTTCCACTCTATATTACCCCTTGTTCTTTAGTGGTCTTAGTCACTGAAAAAGAATAGTAGGTAAAACGTACAAGTCTTGGACAGGGCTTGATACTTTCATTACTTTCATTCTTTTTGTTTTTTAGGTTGTAAATGCCTTATATTGATGATTCAAGCTGTCTAGGCTGACTTTTGGTTTATTGCAATTTAATTGATTGTGGTGTAGAGACTTGGGAAGCAGAAACCTCTCTGAAATTAATCTGGTTACATGCAGCAATTTGTGTTGTGGGTCAGGCAGGTGGGCAGTATAGTGTTCCACTCCAGCTCTAAATTAGAGCCCTGTTGTCTCTAAGGGCAAGAAATATTTATTTTCTGGTGTGATTTTACGAAACAGACCTAAAATCTTGGGTTTGAACCATGTGTGATGAAAAATGCATTTTTTTTCATTACTGTTACTGAAATCTGCAAGTGTAGCTACTTGCTTTAACTCTTCTTTTGGTGTAATTTATTAAACAGGCATGTTAATTTCTAGAAAATAAAAAAGGCAAAAGATGATGCTGTTTATGCCTTCATTAGTCGGTAAATCCTAAATAGAAGCTCATATTTGGTAAGCTGCTTTATTGAAAGAATACGGCTGTACTATCAAGTGGCTTAAAGAGTAAGTCTTTAACTGGTGCAATAATTAATATTCTAATGCATTCTGAATAGTTCGTTGGAGATATTTGACTTTTTACTTTTTTGTTCCTATTTTCAGGGTAATTCAAATGGCATTGCTACTGTGGACGTTTCAGCAGGTTTTGTGGGACTAGAAAGCTATGTGGAGATACCAGCTATCTTCCTTACAGCATTTGCAACATACGCGGGACCTTTGCTTTGGGCCATTCATCTGCTGTGCTACTTGAGTTCTGAAGTTAGCAGGTAATTATGTTTTGAACTCCTCTGTGTACTGCAGATATAAACACTGTATAGTATATACCTTTTCAAACAAACAGTTTTGTTCACATAATTTTTTTCCTTAGAAGTTGGTTTTCTGTTAAGAAAATTGATGGGGTTTTTTTGGTATGAGTTTGTATCACCTCACTCTTCCAGTTTCATTTTCTCTGCAGAAGTTCTGCACTGGGGCTATACGTGTATGTTTTACTAATCTTGTTTCTTAATGAGCTCTCGGTTTGCTGTACTAAAATACTTAAAATTTTATTACATTTTGTTGTAACAGCATGTGCTGCTTAAAAACATTCTTCTTGGAACCTATTAAGTAGGAGTTCTGAGAAGGACATTTTAAAGTAGTAGAACAGAATTTGAACTTAACTAACATGCAGTTATTTGCATGTCTGTCCTTATTTGGCATAGTGACATACAGTGTTTTATAAATAAAACAGATTTATTTTATTGTAAATTACTGGTTATTGCAGTCATCTGTAACTAAAATATTTGTACTTCTGGGTATCTTATGTAGCAGATGGGTTAATGTAGAATGAATAAATGCATTTGGAATTTTAAGAAGAGATGGTTGGAAAATGCTTGTGTAACTTAGAGTGTACATGTAAATTCCAATTGGACTCTAGTATTCGCATTTAACTCCTCCTCCAGATCATTTAAACTGAGAGATGCTGTATGTTAAAATAGAGAGAGGAACAGTAAATTCTGCATCATATAATATCAATGCACAAATGCAAAAATTTGATGCATTTTCACAGAAGTAACATTTGACAGTGACTAAATTCTTCCCATCCCAGAGTCTTTTCTATTACCTGTGCAATTTAAATGCACTTTTTTTATATATGGGGAACAGAATGTTGCAGCAGACTTGGCAGATGGAACTTCAAACAGTTTCATTTATCACAACTCTTTGCCTTATACGTTGTCATCGTCTGTGTAAACCTCTGATTTCCCTTTATCTACTGTGTCATACAGTCTAATCCTGTCGGTGCTTTTTCTTTTCTGGCTTCTCCTTCTTTTGCTTGTTTGTTTTGGGCTGTACCTACACTGTGAACTTGTGTTGGCGCGTGTGTGTTTATCAAAGGCATAAGGAGATGGGATGACCAAGCTGTGTAGACTAGTGGAGGTTTTTAAATTCAGGATGGACCTGTTGTAACAGGCTAAACTCCTCCACAGTCACTTTGTCCATTGTTCTGTATTAACAGGCACCTTTAGCAGGTAGAATTATCCACCTCAGTCACTGATTTGCCTGTCTGCCATATTGCTCTCTAAAGATGTCTGGCTCTCTCCACTGCAGTGGAATTATGCGGCCTAGTGTTGGGCCACTGTATTGCTCTAGTAACGCACTCCTTAGTGTAGACTGAGACTTGCTGGAGAACATTAGCTGGCCTCAGACTAAGAGGAACATTGAAGTCATCTTTGGTCTTGTACAGCTTGATACTGTCTAAGTACTGGCCTTTGTGTATAAAGCCTCTGAAAACCAGCCTTTTCTGTGTTCATTCTGATTTTTAAAAAATTTTTCTGCTTCGGGAGGTAGGTGTGGAATACACTAATAATTTATGTCCAGATTTGTATAACCACAGAAACCCCTTTCTTGAATTTTCCTTACTACCTGGCATCTTGACACTAAACTCAGTTTTAAATCTTTATTTCTAATGCTCCTCAGTTTAGCTTTAGTTGTTGCTTCGCTCCATCAATACATCTTGCTAGTATCCAAACTCTTCAAGTTTTCTCCATTCTTTCAGCTCTCTTTAAAAAGAGTCATCATGTACATATGAAAAGCCCTTCTTCTTGTTTTCTAGTAAATATGTGACCCGTGATGCTGGGTATTACTCACATACTATTAATCTACTGTTTCCCTAATTCTTTTATATGTCTGCCATGCTTTGTTTAAATTAGTGCTAGACAGTTTCACTGGTCACATCCATGTTCCTGTGTTGTGTTTTTTAGCTGTCCATTCTTCATTATTACACTGTAGGTGCTTTTGAACTTGGAAGACTCAGAGCACAGTGGAGTAAACCGCCTCAGTGCTATTGTCTGGGGGTGGAGAGGGAAAGAATAAGAGCTCCTGTAACGTTTTTTAAAGAGCTGAAGTTTTAATGTTGTTTAAACAGTAGACTGCAGACTGTGATGAACACTAACATACAATGAAGAGAAAATGATGCCATATAGCATGTTTTTGAAAGCTTTTCTAACAAAATAATAAAATACTTTCTGTAACAAAATCTTTCATATCTGTACTTGTTTAGTGTTGTTTCAAATAATGTGCCTCTGTAGTAGTGTTGGTTGTTCTGATGTTTTCTTGGTTGAATTTTTGCAGATTAAAAGCTCAGCTAGTAGTGTTGCCAGGTACAGTGCTGGTTTAAACTGCTCTCAAGTGGGTAGCTGTGACCTGTAATACCCACATCACTTATGTAAGTAGATTCCATCAAGCAGTTTGTGTCTGTAGCCATTTTAAGGTTCATTTTGGGTCAACTGGTAAGGTTGTTTCCTCTGTGAAACAGTGCATAACTCTGGACTGGAATCTGTGTAGCCACTGGGACTTGTTTAAATTGATACGTTATGGTGAGTGGAACTTGGTCCGTATGCTTTTTATTTTATTCTGGGGGTTTTGCTGTTGCTGGCCAAATGGTTGTCTCATTACTTTGTCGTTATTCCTTGGAGTCAAAGTTGAAACTGCAGTAGGCAGAGGTTCAGCTGCTTCATGTGTTTTCTTAAATGTATGGGAGACCGACATTTTTAAAAAACTATTGGATGCTTTAGAATGTTCTTCATAAAGGCTTCTTATTAACTGTTTTATAAGCAGGATCAGTGAAATTCAAACCCTTTATGTTTTTTATGTGGTCCTGAGTGGAAGCTGGAGATCCTTTTCTGGCTTCCTCCAGATAGGAAAGTCTAGAAGAATCCAGCTGCTGTGTTTTTTGAAGTATGCTGTGAGTAGGTTCTCTGAGGTTACCACGGGATGTTGTCAGGATTCCTGACCCGTCCTAGTATGGTCTTAGCAAAATGGATGCACCCAGAACTGCTCAGCAGTGCCATTCTTAGTGAAGTCCCTAACATCCTGCAGCCTGTTTTAGAGCTGTTGCATCTGAGGAGGTTGACCTGGACAAGGGAAGCCTGGCTTCAGTGCTAACTCTATTCGTTTATTCCAGCCACTTAGCAGACCCCATCTAATTTATAGCTCTATCAGTTGGGCTGCCTTACCAGAGCTTCTTGCTGGATTTCTTATAAGCTGAGCTGCACTGGAGCATCTCTTCCCTGAGTCAAATTTACAGGCATAGACCTTGCTCTCTCTGCACTTTGCATTTATGAAGTCACAAAATACTAGAGTCTGGAGTCCAACCCTCCTGGCCAAAGGAGGGTCAACAGGAGCAGGTTGCTCTGGGCCACGTCTAGTTGGTTTTTGAGCGTCTCCAAGAATGGACACTCCTGGGACTTCTTTGGCAGCCTGTAGCAGTGTATGACAACGCTCAAAGTGAAACAGTTGTTTTGTGATGTTTAAGGTGAATTTGTTGTATTTCAGTTTGTGTCCATTGCCTTTCATCCTTTCACTGGGCACTACTGAGAAGTCTGGATACATTTTCTTTACTTCTGCCTATTAGATAGTGATAAACACTTGGTGAGATCCTTGCTGAGCCTTCTCTGCTCAAGGCTTAACAATCCCAGCTTTCTCAGCCTCTCATTTTATGTCAGATGTTCTAATCCCTTCATCATCTTTGACCTTTCAGTGAACTCGCTCCAGTACACCCATGTCTGTCTTGTACTGGAGTCCAGAACTGGACCCAGAACCTGAGATGTGATCTTGCCACTGCTCAGCAGACAGGAAAGATCAACTTCCTCAACCTGCTTGCTGTACTTTTCCTATTATAGCCCTGGATTGGCTCAAGGGAACATTTCTTTGTTCAACTCACTGTCCAGCAGAAACAACCTATGTCCTTCTCTGCCAGTCTGTTTTCTGGATGGTCAGCTCCAAACCTCACCCAGGGCATGGATTTATTCGTCCAAGTGCCAGATTTGATGTCTCCCTTTGCTGAACTTCATGAGTCTCTTGTCAGTCCATTTCTCCAGCCTGCTGAGGTCCCTCTCAATGGCAGCAGACCCATCTGCTCCATCAGCCACTCCTCCCAGTGCTGTGTTAAGCGCAGACTTGCTGAGGGGACACTCTGCCCCATTGTCCACATCATTAAGGATGATGTCAAACAGTATCGGCCCCAGTGCGAGGCCCGCGGTTTGATCCTTAATGACTGACCTGCAGGTGGACTTTGTGCCGCTGGTCACAACCACGTGAGCCTAGCACTTGTGCAGTTTTCGGTCCATCTCGCTGTCCAATTTCCTAGCCTGGCTTGTTTCCTAGTTTGCCTATGAGGATGTAATGGGAGATGGTGTTAAAAGCCTCCTTGTGAGGTGAAAGCACCATTAGATACATGTAGCCCATCTATGGTAAAATGGAATAGAAGATAAGGAGGTTTTGGAAATAATGAATTTGCTGTGAAAATGTAGTTTGAGGTCCTTAAACAATTTGCTTCTATCTGATCAAACACATGGACCTATAAAATATTCTCCTCATATGAAAAGGTAAATATGTTTCTGAAATAATTGTCATGTGGTAGATAGTAACATGGATATTACTGCCACTTTTAGTCCTTCAGGCTCTCCTATGAAACTTGGCAGCTTAAATGTGATGGGATTTTCACAGACAGAAATAGTAAGAAGAACTCTTTGACTTCAGTATCCATGGAAACTGCAGTAACTCTTGAAACTATTTTTGAGACGGGGAGTACTGATTAAACTGATGCCTAAACTTAACCAAGTATTCTGTGTGTGACTTGCATAAATTCCAGAGAGCACCTGGTTCATGCAAAGGGTAGTATTTACAGTGACCACTGCATTGCCCTGATCTGGAGTAGAATTTAGGATTTTGGGATCCTTATGACCAGGAAAAGGGCCATGTTGTTGGATAATCTGACCTATATTATATGATCT